AAGCATTCAAGGGCTACTTGCACACTTGTGCCACGGCACGAGTTTGACACCTCGTAAGCAGTCGCAAGCGCAGTCAGTCACAGTCAAATGCAAAGTTGTGAATTAGCCTTTCGATGTCCCAACTCTTCATGGGTGGTTAAAGGTCAAGATCTTGTCGTTCATGTTTTATAGCGAGGCATTTAGGGTTTTCAATGTGCTTGATCGAATTACTAGATCTAGATAGTTTAGCCCTGCACTGTTGCTGAGATGAAACTTGAGGCCTACATCTTACAAATACCTATACGCAGTGTATCGCATGCTGTAGACTGATGCCACCATACCAATAAAACTAGTAAAAGAAAGTGTGACTCGTATTAGAGCATTACTAATTTCCTGTCATAAATTTAAGATATACATATTTGAGATAAGGTTTTTTGTAGATTATCAAAATATATTTCAATAGAAAAAAGCTTTGCTTTTTGCAAATACCTTTATATCCTGTAAGGATTACTAAGTGCTTGGAAGAAAGAACTGTGTTTTTTTTTTGCCGCAAAAATGGACTATATGCATTGCTGAAAGCACATTCTTTGTCCAAATGTAGCACTAGTGGTTTGGACCAGTTGCCAAAGTTTCTAAACTTACCATAATCTAATAAAAAAGTTGTAAGCCATTTCCACAATTTTTTATGAGGATAAGTGGCCAGTTAGTAGTAGCAAGTGGCAATCATCTCCATGTATTCAGAGACTCTGTTGGTCGACATCTACTTATTGAAAGTTTCCAGAAATCCCTTATAACTCTGATCATGTGACCATAAGTTCTGGAACTCTGACACCAACTGCTAGCACTACATTTGTGCTGAGACTGAGCATTCGATGGTGCTTAGCTTATTTTTGCGGTGGCAAAAATGTGGTTCCCTTGCAAACACCCAATAAACATTGCAGCTTACGAACTAGGGTATGTATAAAACTTCTATGGTGACGAGTCTAGGCAACCACCGTCAATGGCGCAGTCTGGCAGTGGTAATTTGGCATGTGAAGTTCATCACTGTCCTGCCAACATAATGTCGTCATTTTTTTCTCAAACTTTACGAAGATATTCTTTTTACAAAAGTAGGTGTTGTTGGTTATTTAGTCTGTATCTAGTATTTCATCTATACTCTGATCTCGCCAATTCAGAAAGTACAGAAAAGCATTGAGTTTTATTTTTTTAAGGTTCAAATATGAAGATCAGTCATGTTAGAAAACAGCCCTATTCATAGATTTATATTCTGAAAGTTATTTTTATTGATGAAAATTGTCAAAAGTGGTTTCTTTTATTATTATTACTGTGTACTTAGTCTCCATAATAGTCTTTAATTGTCTCAACAACTAAAGAGTCACTGACCCTTCAGCTGTTGAGAGAACTCCAGTTCGCTTCAGCTGATTTGGTGCAAGTCATCTCACACATTGAGGAAGTTGAGGCCGCTGTTGCTGTGCTGCGAGAATCGGGTGATGTGAGAGTCTTAAAAACGGCGAGGGAACTTTGTGAAAAGGTTCACATGACTCCCGAAATGCCAGCAGTTACATCTCGCCAGAAGCACCGCAGCAACGTCCCTGTGACTTTTGTGGATGAGTAGTTCAGACTCGCTGTATTTCTTCTCTTCATTGACCACTTTCTCTTAGTACAGCTCAAAGATGGATTCAAGAATCACCAGAAAATCCTTAAACTCCCATTTGCCCCACCCCCCAGAAAACTCCTCCATAGAGGAGAAAGAGCCTAATTAAGACAAATTCGGGAACCTCTACGTCGACTTCATTTCCTTAAATGAGCTGCCTGGAGAAGTCCTTCTTTGGTCTTGGAAGTGGAAGGACTACGATGCTCTGCACGTTTCTGCCGTGCAGGTGACGTCCCTTTGCCCGAACGCCCTGCACCCAAACATCTACAATCTATTTGAAATTCTGGCCACCTTGCCTGTTAGCACCGCCGAGCCGGAGCGCTCGATTTCAACTCTGCGAAGGCTGAAGACTTGCATAAGAGCGTCCTCGTCCCAAGATTGCCTTTTGGGACTGGCTCTTCTCACGATTCAGAGAGACATCCCTGTCAGCCAATAGAACTTTCTATTGTCTCTTTGCATCGATTGGAGACAGCTTCGATCGAATGTGTTACAAGGTTCTGACCTAATCTGGTGTTTAACAGTCAGCGTAAGGATGCACATTACTGACGACTGTTTTTTTCTCGTGTTTTCTTTCGCTGTCGTGAAAGCAACGCGTTATTATATTCTTGTCCTCTCATAATATTGTTAATATTCCACTCAGTTTTCAAATTTCTTCTTATAGCTTAAGTCGTGAATTTATAGAGTTTATTACAAAATGTATTTGAAGTGCACAAATGAATAAACAGTATCTTGTTGAACCAGTGAGATGAGCCGAAAAACGTGGGCCGGTTCTGGGATCTGAACAGGCCCTCACCGACCCCACCCTCACGATTGTAACACTTTCGACGGCACTGTGAGGTTTTCTGACCTCATATTCAACTGGTTGACCGCTGCGGCAGCTCAAAGTCGAGGCACAATGCACGCCAGCAAGGTTTGTGGGTTCTTTCTGGACACAACCTGGGGACTCGTTGACCCAAGTGCCACTGCTAGGCATGGTAAAATTACACCATAATTTATAAAAGAAGAAAAAAATGGTGGTAGGTGGGGGTCTTGATTTTCTAACCCTGTTTTTTGCAACAAAACAATTTTAAAACGGGACAGAATTGCAACGATATAAATACGAATATATGCGACAATTCTGAATGTGAATTAGAATATTAGTTCATTCGGTTCGCGACAAAAAGTCGTACCTCATTGCTGATATTAGGAAAGGTCGGAGTGCTCCGCAATTTTTTAACTGGGACGTCGGCTCTTTTGAGTGTGCTTCCTCAGCAACACACGTTCACTGCAGAGAAGCAACACCCGCGGTGGTGGCTTTGCACTAGCTATCTTGTACATTCTAGATACATGCACTCTCATTTTGAAAAAAATAAAATGTGGCTTTATGCTTGCACAAGGTACAGGTATACCTTACTGGGAAGTCAATGCCGTACCGCGGCTAGATAAAGGCAGTTTTCGTCGACCGTTCCAATAACTCCTATAACAATACGCGATACTCCGCCGGCACCTCTGCGTGTGCATCGTGTCGTTATTGGAGGTATCGGAACGATCTACTAAAACTCCGTAAAAAAGTGTAGCGGAGGTCACCACATTTTTTTTAAGCACTGTATACAGCTATATGGGATAGTGGAGACTTGATATGAAAAAAATGGAGGACACGATTAGTTGGCCCATATTGAAACAATTGATTTCAGATGACACGCAAAATAATGTGTTAATATTTAAATATTAACACATAATGCATAGTTTAGCTAGTTCTCCATGTAATCAGTGCAGATTTGAGCAGTCATGACTAAGCACAAACTCTTTGATACTCTCCCCAAAGAAGGTTGCCGCACGAGTTCTCAGTAGTTCTGTAATGAGCTCAACAAGACTGACCTTCTTTCGTGACCCCACCATCATCAAGGACGTCTGTTTGTGCTCACCAAAGCTTTATGCGGCTTTCTTCATACACCCACGTCTTTGGCAGGTGACGGACTTTCTGGCGCATGATGAAAGGACTGAGAACCCCGGCAGCAATCTGGTTTAGGGGGTGCAATCAAAAAATTCTTGCACATCGCAACTGCTCCTTTAATCTCTTTGGTGATTACTTAAAGAAGTAGCTAGGATATGTATCTGCATTCTTAGTATATTAAAATATTTTTGTCATTCTTGTTTTTTATAGCCAGATCAAAAGATGTTGAAAAAAACAAACATAAGCATATACTATTGCGGGCAATACGAGCTAAAACGCCGCTTATCGGGGCGCGTGGCGCTACCAGAGCCCCCTGTCGCATTTTTCTGCAGACTGATGCACTTTGACGACAAACTCCCCTCCGGCACTTTTGGCACCACGCTGCGCTTCCTTGTTGTCTGCTACCGAGACGGCAGTTCTCGACTGTGGCAGGACTGTCGCAAACTCCCGCTCCAATTGGACAGGGTTTACCGATACAGTTCTAATGACCTAGTGGTTCTCTTCGTCCCTCGTAACTCCGCAATGCTTTCGTGTGGTGCATTCCCAGGTCGACCTTCATATGTCCGTGGGCATGAACTTTGCGATTCACCTTTGCTAACGACATTACATATGCTATTTTCTTTTGACAATACGTACGTTTTAATGCTCAGATTTTTTTTGCATGCTATTAGCACGCAAATTGCTAGAATATGTTTTTTGTTCTTTTTTGGTGCGAATACATATATATGCAGTTTCGATTAAACTCAACTGTGGTCTGATGTTTGCGTGATATTAGGTCGGGGCTCTGCAAAAAATGTTTTGAGAAAGTTGACGATAGGTATATGCTGCGATGTGCCTAGGTTTTACAGCCCGATTAGACGAAGTCATGCCACCTCCACTTGCTTACTAGCTGATGACATGGAAGTGCAGTGTGGCACCGTGAGCGTTGGAGAGGAGTTATTTTGGTCCCAGCGTGCATCACAGTTTGCAGACAAATGCGATAGGTGGCTCTGATTATACCTGGAACCACACGGAGGGGCCTTTCAGCTCATATTGGCCGTGATGGTACATTAAAGGTAACTAGAATCTAGCCAGTGCAGTTAAACCGCGGAATATTTTGCAAATATAATTACGGTTTCGTAGCTTTCGAGTTTACATCATGAACGATTTGGCAAGTGTTATGCGAGCCCACATTGACATATCCAAAGAACAGAGCTTCATTGAAGTAGGATATTTTTGAAGCATTATAAAATGCTTTGAAGATATAGTTCAACGCTACGTGACATCACCTGTCAAGCAGTGGTAAAGTGCAACACCATGACGTTGGTGCTCTTGTTCTTTTTTGCTCGTATTATTGACATTTTATACAATCGGGCAGTAACGTGCCCAGGGACACTGAAATTTACTGCATGTCTTTGTTCGTGTTCAGATTTTGCACCAAAACAAACGCTCCAGTTTAAGTTTATGCAAACTTTCGACTTTATAATGCATTTATTGTACGAAGCAATGCTTCATGAGCTCAAGGCATGAACACGTTGACCTTTCAGGTTGAATTGGCAACGTTGTATTATTCTATTAATATGCTGGCATGACAAATGGTAGGTTGAAGTTCCTTATTAGGAGGCAGTGATTTGTAAACTGTAGTTCGTTCCACGTTAAGCACCTACACATATGCTTTGAACTTCGAAGATGGACTGAAAATTGCTGTTACTCAAAAGCACAAGTAGCTTGTCTCACAGAGGTTCTTGGTAGAACTTGGCACCATGATGCTTCAATTCCTTTGTTATAAACTCCGTCACCATGTTCTTCCCAAGATTTGCGCGGGGCGCGTACACTGTGCGTGGTCAGTTGTAAGTTAAACAATAGGCGCTTCAAGGCCTTTTGGTTTGACAAATGGCCCAGTTTGCTCAAGCGGCTGGGCAAGAGTTGGGGAGGACGTTGTGGAGCGAAGCCATGTCGATCCACTCGACGCGCTTGTCGTTGACGGCGACGTTGCGCAGGCAGCCCACGAAGTTGTCTCGTCCAAACAAGGCCCCGTTGGTGCTGCCCTCTGCAAAGGGGAATCCAATCAACCGGGTTAAATCGCGCCACTCCCCCATGGGTGGCGAAACTGGGGGAAGTCGCGACAGATTCAGCGTCGGGTTGCCAAAGCGGTTTGGGAACTTGGGAACTTAAAAAAATGCGGAGTAAAATTCTCTGCAATAACGACTATTAAAAAAAAAAAAAAAAAAACAGGCTGCAACTTTACTTCGAGCCTGGACTGAAAGTTGCGACCTTCAAGCTCGTTCCTCGTTTCGAGAAACTGCTCTAACAAGCAAGCCCACTTTACTACTTTAGCCATTAGGATCAGTTGTTGCGCCGACATGCCTCTTATTTTTGCGATGGTTAGCAGCCCAGCTGATTTACTTGGACTACTATAACCGTAAAACAAAACTCTGGCATCAATTTGGTGTATCACTGTGAATGCACTAAAACTGAAAAGTTTGTGGCAACAGGAAAAGCTGAGGGGGTCGCGACGCTACACTTAATGCGGAGCGCAGGTTCGTCTGCTTCCTTTGCAGGGGTTGTGGTGACGTCGGAAGGCCGAGGCCTGATTGGCCCCGATGGAAGGATAGTGGGTAGACTTCAAAGCAAGCTGCCTTGAGGCCTACCCACTATCCTACAATCAGAGCCAATCACAGCTCAGAGCCAATCACAGCTCGACGTTCCGACGTCACCACAGCCCCTGCGAAAGAAGCAGACCAACTTGCGCTCCGCATACGTTTGGCGAGTCTTGGCGTAGCACTGCTTTAAGGTTTACAGAAAGAAGGTGGCACTTGATGAGTACGACCGAAAATCAAAGTTTCAAATAGAGGCTACAGTCACGGACAGAATGACAACGGCAGGGCGTGTATTTTGAACGCCTGGCATGCGCTACGCCTTTTGCCGTGCTTGATTACGTGCGTGCGTCGAGGTGTACGAGACTTCGAAGCGTTCCTGAAAGAAATAGGAAGCTTTGGCTGGAGGCGGGGCAGGAGACGCTCCTCCCTGCCCCTTGTCGGTGACTAAAGAGAATCTATGCACCCACTTTGCTTTTAGGGTAGAGGTGGAGGCAGCTCGTCTCTCATCATTCAGTCGCGGGAAAGATGTCAAACACAAGTAAATCAAGGAGTCGGCTATGAGAAAGCTTGCCATCACACATTATAGTGTGCGGAATACATCTTTGAGCTATCGGAGCAGGCTATGCGAGGCGGGACATTAAATCAGATTTTATAGTTCTTCTCTTTATTTTATAGTTTATAATGAGATGTGCGGGTGCTTAGCCTCATGTTTTGTACTGTATCGAGTGACATCTTAAATAAACTATTGCTCTTGAAAAGGTTACCACCGTCACAGCCATCAATAGCGTGAGTCGGGCGACGATTGGTTCATCTGCAACAGGTATTGCCGGGAGGCGATGAATTAACAAGCGCCCACATATCGAAATAGCCTGCTAGAAGATGAAAAAATCTGAACCTATCTTTGGGGTTATATCGCAATAGATGGGCTTCCGTCTCGGTAGCGTCGTGCGTGAGTATCTGCATGTGTCGCACTTGTGTCAGTATGCTTGTGTAAAGAGCGTAAAGTTCAACCTCAGTAATGTATTAAGGTCTATTTAATCGTAGTTATCAGAACAAAAAAAAAATGTTTGTTTTTAACACAGTAGGAAAGGGTGATGCTAAAGGAACTTTATTGAGGATGCTCATTGCAAGCTCTAATCACAGAAGAAACCGACTTCACAATGTAGTCTACAATGCACCTGCTGCTGGATATAGTCCACCAGTCTGGCACCGGTCACCACTACCAGTACTACTATCCTGGTACCAATGCTAGTACCACAGCATCACCCGTGGAAGTACTGAAGCAGCACTAGCCTTTTACCTGTTACTTGAAAAATGTAATCAATTACAATTACAATTCCTCTTCGTTACTTGAGAAAGGAAACTTTTCGTTTTCGATTATCTCGCGTTTTCAGAACACAGATTTTTTTGGCCGGTTCGAAATTGGGCCTTGTTACTGCTCAATACTGGACTACAGTCACCGAATTACAAGCTACTTATCTTCTCAAACTTCCAGATTGAAAAACGACTGTTTGCATGTAACGAGGAAGTTTCTAAATTCCCTCGATTACTCATACCTGGACATCTCTATAAGTTTGTTTTTATTTCAAATGCGTCATTTACTTGCCATCTGAATGCAGACAAATGGACAAGTGCAAGCTTGGGCCTTCTTGTGTTCAGCTGGATTTTTTTTTTTTTAAGCAGTGAAAGGCTTGGAAAAACTTTGCGGACAAGGATTTACTCCGTTGCAGTCTGAATCCGACCGAAGCAGACGCTACGCTCCGACGGAGCCAGTCAAGCCATGATAAAAGAGCACCGTCACGGCGCTCATCTTCTTTGTGCATCTGCTACCTTTGACTAAAACAATCACGCACAGTGAATGCGTCACGATCCGCGCTTTTTACAGCGTCGGCTTTATTCAGCTTGTCGTACCCAACAAGCCTCGTGTCGCTGAAAACGAATGGAGCATGCGAGCACTCATCGCAGTTGGCTTTTGCGCCGGGAGAGGGCGCCACCCACTCTTCCTCGCTTTTGGTCGCCCATTCGCTCGGTCTCACCATGACCGTTGGGACGGAACGCAATGGCCATTCTGCGTGTCATCGATTGTGGTTTACGGGAGACCCGGCGTCTTTGCCGGCGGCTTGTCACTAGGTCCTTCAATCGTACCCGGACAGCCGGCCGAGTGCCTTCAGGCTGTGTTCAATGCGTACCCATACACCGTCTCATCCTGCGATAGACTAAAGCCCAATGCTACAGGCAGCCAGGTCTAATCACGTGCCTATAGCAAGCCATGTGGAACATTTGCTCCGTCGTATGTATTAGTGCGCCAAGACGCGTCGGCTCCGTCTGCTTGTTACTACTAAAGACTACTAAATGGATTAGATACCGTTTGGAAGCAATGGGGCGAAGAGAGCCCGGGATCAGAATTAGTGGCCATTAGTAAAGCACCTCGATGTGTTTGCGTTAGTCTTTCAAGTAGCATCAAATGCGCCAGTACACGAGGCCCGTGTCTCGAGCGGCCCTTGGAAGCAAATGGCGGCGGAGCACTTGCTCGTGCCACGTGTCTTGCACGTTTCCACAACAATGGTTGGCAATACTTGTAAGCGGGAATTTTATCAAGGGACTTTAGCCATTGGGGACCCTGCAATCATAATAAACGTTTAACTTTTTTGCGGTTTCCACGTCTCTTGGGGTTCGGGCAAGCCAGCGGGCACAGAGAGAGTAACTAAATATCAGTGAGTCATATTTTAACCGGATGACGCGAAAACCTCCTCTACCTATGGGGGCGACCCGTGGTGCCGAAAGCATGCGATTTGTGAAGTGTTTGGTCCTGGCCTTACTACTGGTCAGAGCCGCTAAAAGCTTTTTTTAGTCGAAACACAAAATATAAGGGGTGCAAACCGTTTTATTTATTTTTGAAAGGAGTTTTGTTCAATACTTTAGATCAGAAAAAAAAAAAAAACAATTGCAGTTTATAAAGTTCGGAAACAAATGACCTGTCGACATATCTGCCACCAAGCGGTGGAAAAGGCGCCACATACCAGAAAGGGGTGGTGGGATCAGGCACCGACGAGCGGCGAGTGTAGAAAGGTACCGGATGTATGCGGCGGCGCTGCAGTCGTATACAGGCTCGAGGATCCGAGCGTTCCGAATGCCTTTGGCAAGCAATTTGGCCATTGGGCAGTATGGCAGCGCAAAGTGGCTCCCGTTCTGAACTGATCTTTACCCTGTTTTTGCTGTCGTTTGTGGTAAATGAAGTGTCATGCCGAATTAGTGTTTATTCACGCAGCAAATGGAATGCGAGCCGCCCTGGCCGCCCGCTTCACACATTCTATCCAACACATATGCTTTCGTGGCGCCCTACCGAGCCGCCGACACGAAGTGCGGCAGCCATGGCCGCTCGCTGAGCTCACCACCCCTCCTCTGGTTTGCGGCCACTCAAGCCAGGACCAAGGACGTCATGAAGGAGGTTATTTTTTGCATGTTTTTATAATTTTAATTGGCCTATAACTTAAGGCCCGTTCACACTTTTGCGACCGAGCACGACTGAGAGAGACGAGATCTCTTAAATGAGGCAACACACTGGAATTGTGGCGCCATCTATGCGGTGACCCTGGAACTGCATTTCACAAGAGTGAAGGTTTTGCGGGATTTCCGAGATCAAATGTGCGTATACCCATAGAAAGGCTCGGTTATAACATTGACAAAAGTTTTTCGAGCCAAGAAAGAAAGGATAATGCACGAGAAATAAAAAAATATGTCGGACCATTGAGTTTACACTGCTTCCCAATAGATGGCGCCAGTGTGTTCTCTGGTTTAAGAAGTTTTAAGGAACCCAGGTTTAAGAGGTCACAAGAGTGTGAATGGGCCTTTAAAATAAAGCAAAATACGAGGAAAAAAAAGTTTCATTAAGTTACTACATTCAGTGCTCCCAGGTTCGGTGCAAATTAAATTGCAGTCTGAAAGTTGTTGCAGGGCCCCTTTAAGAAATGAAGATGAGTCGGATAGAGTGTTCGACACGGAGGCGTATGTGCGGACTGCATGTAAAAGGGAAATGCGGGTCCGGGACACAAAAGTTGGATTGGATTGGATTGTTATGGCTAAGGCAAAACGACTTTATGTCAGTGTTGCCTTCATGCAGTCCAACTTCTCCAAACAGTTGACATCGTTACAAAGTATGGCAAGAATGTTTTGAATCTAAATACCACTACATTTACTTCAATATAAAATAGCGCACTATCATAACAGATAACCATATGCATTAGATTAGTGCTCTTCATACTCTGCGTATCAGAATTTTTCTCGCGCGCTCTCTCGCAATGCGTACGCAAGCTTTTCTGAGGCAGCCTTCAGGCCCTAATCCATCGTTCGTACTGGCAAGACTCGAATCTCGCCCGTGCTGGAGATTCTGCCTTAGATTGGCGGCCGTTCGATGCCCACTTGGCGCTCTAGACTCTTTCGCGCAAGGATGGGGCAGCTGAAACCTACGCCGGAACAAGCAGAGGCTGCTCTATGGCGCAAACACGCCCGCAAGAAAGAATGCCGACGTGTAGGCTCCAGCTGCCGCTGTTCGTTCTTATCACGTCACGCGATCGTCTGCTCAACCTTTTCTGCACGTTATCGGTTGAGTCAATAATAGTAAACTTACGAAAACAACAAGCACCGTGATAATGCACTTTTGGCATTCCTCAATGGGGTGGTAGCACCGGCTGCGAGCGGATTTAAAGTGGAACGAAGTATAGCGGCGCGAAAGCATAGTAGAGCAGCAAGAAACACATCTGTGCAGCACAGCTTTGGCCAATCAGCTGGCAATGGTCAATGGCCAGATAATGGCCTGCCATAAGCCAATGAATTAGCTTTCTCTGGCCATCGGACTGCCATTGGCCGATGAATGGCCACTCCTTGGCCATTGGCCAAAAGACCATCGCCAGCTAATGGCCAATGCTTGCAGTCTACCAAAGATCCCCATGACCCGGCAGTTCTTACCGGGCAGTCCTCCGACGTAGAGTGGACTCTCCGTGTGTGGCTCTGGCGGCGTTGCCGGAGCCAGGCCGTAGGCGGCCTGGTGCCGGTCCACCCGGAGGGAGACCTCGCTGCGCGAGACGTGCACCACCAGCGTGTGCCATTGGCCGTCGCACATAGCCTGCTTAGAGGAGAACTTCTTGCGCGCCCGGAAGGGCCCCGTGCCGTTGTGGCCCAGGTCCACCGAGACGATGACCTCGCCCTCGTGCAGCTCCACGGCCAGGGCCGGGGTGCCGTGCGGCTGCTTGGACAGACTGAGGAGGACCCCGTTCAGGCGCCAGGTGCGGAACTCGAGCCGCACATCCAGTTTGTCGTTTACGTTGAAGCGTTCGCCTGCGAGACGCGCCCGTCTACTGTAGTACCGTGCCACGTTCCAAAGAAAAGAGCCACCGATGCAATCCGAGGCGTATCCAGCGATTTGCTGTATAGTCGCAACTCACTCGGCAGGCATTTAATCCTCTTTCGTCCGTTTCACATTTCAGCTACCAGGCTGCGCCGGCTTATTGCTACACACTTGGTTAAACGGTAGTGCCCATGCTTCTCTCCTCCAGATTTTCGCCCTTTAATTGATCTGCCTCCACTTGCATTGAGAAAAGTACTTCTTAAATTCCAGTTTTTCGGCATTGTATTTTGGTGCAATCTTGCGCAACTAGTGGTTTATCAGTGTCCACTTTTTTGTATTTGTGACGACTGCAGAAAAGTAGGCACTGAGTGTTATTATGACATCACGATATTGAGTGTATTAAAATATTTTTGGCAATTATTTTGTGAATTGTTTTGAGGACAAATCGGTGTAAAGCCTGGAGCAGTTCAGTCATAGTGTTTTGCAAAACTGTTGGTGCAAGCTGATTTGGTGGATCGTAAAATCGACAGAAGGATTTCATCTCACCTGCATCATAACCTTGAAGATCAAGACATTTGAGTCCTACCATGACAATTCTTGTGTAAGTGCACCCTCTTTCTCCTTGTCTGATCAAGAATACTACTTATTGAAGAACCAGTGACGCTGGAATTTGAGAGGGGGGGGGGGGGGGGGGGGTGTTTCTAGACCATATCTTTGTGCTCTGCCAAGTGTGCCTGATTTCATGTTTTAAAACTGTGTCATCAAAATAAACCATTCAGAATTGAAAGCTACACTGCGTCCTGTCAAGTTCTCTCTTCGTTTTCGTCCTTGTTGTTTTGGCGTACTATTACACCATGTTTAAAAGTTTGTATTTGGAATGGCACGTAAACTACTGCTCGCCGATCGCAGCATCCAAGATTCTGATTGCCACTCGTGGTAAAAAATAAATAAAAAAGTGCTATCAACTTGATATTAGATAAGCTGCTTATCCATTGTTCCAATTAACCTCAACATTATGCTATTCGGGGCTCGGTGACAAATCCGCAATCTTCTGAGTCATTTTTCTTTTAGAGGTATGTTCTAGATTCCCGATAGAGAAAATGCCTTCCTGAAGCTGTCATTGAATCATGTGTGCACGTGCTATGGCATCAGAGAAGTGTCGGATATACTCAAAAATTATTTGCTCTCCTATTGCATTAAACGAAAAAATAATGGTGAACTGGAGTATACACAACTGCAAGTAGTACAAAGCAGTAGACATAGAAAAAATCAGAAACTCGCCTCAACTGCCCAGAATCGCAGAATTAAAGAAACTGACGTCTTTGAAAGCACAGAAAACGCTTCGGACTTACCGTAGACAGCGTATGCGTCTCCCTCGAAGAGCGCCCCAGGCTCGATGGTGGCGAAGCAGACGCCGATGCCGCGAGACTCGCCCTTTGCGAGATCCACCATCTGGCCGTTGAGGTTGAAGTTGCGGATGCAGCCCTTGAAGCTCTCTCTCTTCTGTTCGGGCGAAAGGGGTGACTCGTGAGCGCTCAGTTCGGGGAAGGAGCGCGCACTGGAACGCCGAGAACAGAGCAGGCCCTGGCACTCACCAGTTCTTCAGGGACGGACACGCCCTTGGCGATGCCTCCGACGTGCAGAGGACCTCGGAAGGGCAGCCTCTTGTGCACCTGCAGCTTCAGGGTCGGCTTGTCGTCCACCTCGAGGCTTATTTTGGAACCCTCCTTGCTCAGATGCACCTGGAAGGAAAGAGGTGCTGAGGACGGGATCTCTCCGACGGCATTGTTGATTTGAAGTTTTTTTTTTCCTTTGGGAAAACCTGATAGATCAGTTGGAAAAAAAACCAAAAGGCAGCGGGCTAAGTGCGCAAAAAGATTTCGAACCGGTCGAATGCCTGCCCTCGCCTGCTCGCCCGGGTTGCCTCGGCCACTTCCATTGTCTGTTCCATCCAGTTCCGTACAGCCACTTCCCAGAAATCCTTTCGGCACTGTGGCGGAGGGTGCTACACGATTTGCAGCGGGTGGGCATTGGGGGAAGGGCGTGTGCATCTAAGTGATAGCTGGACTCCAAGCATAGGTGCAGAAATCCATTCTATGTAAATAACCTATACAGGTTCGACGTTTTTCTTTTGGCTGCTGTCGCATTCTTGCAAATTATTTTAAGGATTAATAGACTGCATAACCAAGTAAGGGATAAATTAGTTAAAACTTGGCATCAGCAACTGATAATTTGGTTTGAGAAAAAATTATGCTTCTTATGATTAGCTAGGCCATTGCGCCGGTAGTTTAGGTACATTGAAACCCGCTCCGATATAAACATATGTACTTCTGGAATGTATGTATTTGGAGTAGAATACAAACACTGGAAAGCATACTTTCAGTACAACTTGAAGTATTTTATGGTGCTAAATATTCATAACAGGCCCTTGTACTGATAAGGTCGTAATACTGTTGGCTCTATGTATAAAGTTTCGTTGCTGGATGAACCTATAGTGGCTTACGTGGTGCCATTGGCCGTTGTTGAGATTTCCGTGGCTGACTAGCTTTTTGGGAGACCTCTCAGCCACCTCGAGCTTCACCCTGCCCCCCGAAAGCAAGAGCGCCAGGTGCCGGTTGTGGCCTGGGTTCTGTGCCAGGACTAGGATGCCGTTCGGGTAGTAGGTGCGGATGTCCAGGCTCAGGTTGAAGCTGCGTATGAATAGAGGCTATTTAATTGCTAAAAACCGAGTCACCGTGCTTATGCGAAGCTTGTCAGTTTGTTTTCAAATGAGAAGTGCAACATAGAGAAGAGGACATAGGCCAAGATGAGCGTAACGTATGACACGGATTAAAATATTTTTAGGGGCAAAGCTCCTTAGGGTCTAGCCTTGTCCGTCTGTCCGTCCGGCTGGCGTCCATGCTCACATAAAAAGAAAAAATGTTTGCGCAGTCAACAGGATTTGAACCTGTGCGGGGAGACCCCAATAGATTTCTAGTTTATCGCTTTAACCACTCGGCCACGACTGTGGGACGAGTAGGGGGCTCTGATGTCATGGATGAAACATTGCATGTAGCCACTCAACGTATATACAGGAGAGGGCGCTGCGGTCAAATGCGTACATAATCGCGTTAAACTTTGCATGCATTGGCTCAATATTTATAGACGAGAGGGCGCTGTGGGCAAATGCTCAAATGCGTATATAACCACGTTCCATACCACACATTCTCTTTGTGACATGGACTGTTCCCACGGCTTCTAGCGGATCAGCTTGGATCCGCTAGAACCACTGGCTCTGCATTTCACCGACCAGAAAGCAGTAATAGTGAAGTCGAAATGCAACCCGGAACTCAGCACTACAGTAAAACCTCGTTATAACAAAGTTGAAGGAGTGGTCGTAATTATTTCGTTATAACCATTAGTTTGTTATAGCCAATGTCCATTTCTTCCCACTATTAGCAAGCAAGGGGAATTATGATTGCTTTGTTATATCCATTAGTTTGTTATATCCCGTTTTGTTATAACGAGGTTTTACTGTACCATGAGCAATAAAAAAAGATTCAGCACCATCAGCACTACCTACGAACAATACAATCAGTATCGTCAGCACCACAAGAGCTTCGCCCCAATTAACATCATTCACCACGTGGAGATGCGGTCTTTGTAGTAATATCCTAATGATGGTAAGACCTGACACGGAAGTTGAATAAAGGAAAACACACAGCGGAAGGCATAAAAAGGGGAGAATTGACAACCTCTCAAAATCAGCTACAAGGTTTATTTCGCCGGACATTTTACTACACCCCCTTTCTAATGTGAAGAAAACAAACGAAAGTGACACGTTTGCGTTAATGACGTTGAATTGCTCGCAGTTGTAGCCAAGTTTAAAACGTTGACTCCGGTTGTCTGTCACCGACCAGGATCGCGGGGCATAACCCAAAGAGGTTCCACTCACTCTGCCTTGAAGTGGACAACGTCGTGGAGCCGGACGTAGCTGTGCACGCTGTCGCCAAACTTGACGGCGCCCTCCTGGACGTCGTGGCTCGGAGCATCCGCGCACTGGTCCTGCTCCTGCTCCGTGAGCACCTCCATGCGGTCGTGCTCTACCGGGGCCGGCCGGGGACGTCGCAGGGGTCGGCCAATGCCCGCCCCCTCGTGGGACACGGGCGAGTTGAAGCCCAGCAACCTGTGTGGGCGTAAACAAGTATCTGTACCCACCGGTGGTTTGCATAAAACGGAGGCCAACACTTGGTTCTTTGCCTACGAAGTGCATTTTAATAACAAAGAAGACATCGGAAGACTGGTGGAAGTTATCTAGGGAGAATCGAATGGCGTACAACTAGGATAGGTGGTGCGAGCTACCACCCAATATAAAGGGTACAGCTGTTAGCATCCTTCCATCGAGGTTAACAGTTCATAATAGAGCTTTTGCGAAATGTGCAGCACCCTCTGTGGCGTCAAAAGGAATTCTCCAACACAAGAGAGGGCAGGCGAGCAAGTGCGTTACCCTGCCTTAAAGAAATACCACAACGAAATTTCGGCGCTTATTTTTTGGTCTATATGTGTTCAAAGGAGCAGTATCACATCGAACACACCAATATCTTGTTAAAAAAGTCACGAAAAGGAATTTTAAAACAAATTATACGATTAGCAAAGAGCACCTGGTGGATGTCACTAACGCCTCGTTTGTAATACCTGTCTAGAACCTTGAGAGGTAGTGACGGTAACTGTCTCGCCTCCGGTTACGACGAGAAAAGAGGGGAAGGAGGAACTCCCCTCTTCCCGAGAATCCCTTTTGCGTGACCCAGAAGTCGCTATTGTCCCTCTACAAGATTATAGAAGATTAACCCGCCACTCAAAATTTGTACAAAAGCAGCCGGTTCGGTGGCTGGAACGACTAGGCCATCCTCTCGACGTCAGCCTCGCCGTAGCTTTGCTCGTCCCGAGACGAAGTATGTCACGATTGCGTTTAATGTCACGTGGTCTCCGCTGACTGCTCTCCGAGCGCTTGCCAGAGTGGGTCATTTATAACGAAAAATACAGCCACCAGGCTCAAAATACAAACGTGCGATTGTCATTTACGGATATTCAACCTATTTTTGAATACGACAGTTATATTTCAAATTTCGTTAAAGTATCCCTTTAAGTTCTTTAGTGTCAGATGGTAAATGCCGCAGGAAAAAGTTTATACAGGGCGTTCTCGAAATTTGTATCTTGATTCGCGTGCAAACCTTTGAATTTTCATAAATGGTCTGTTGGAATAATCGTCTTGGCGACATCGTGAACTAAAGTGATCGTACCACATTGAGTGCATAGCTCACCTAATACCGCGTTTTTTCTAATAATGGATGCACCGTGCACTGGCTTTCTTGCAGACTACTGGGATAGCCAACCACTGCAGATTGACAAGGAGCCGGCTACCTACAGCACAGATGTAACGCCCTCACGTGAAAATGCTATCTGCAGATCACATTTTCGTGGAGAACCATTGTTTTTACTTTGTTATTTGTAACCTTCCTTATTCAAGACTTGGAGATTGGCTCAATGTGTGCTCTTCGAGAAAGCGGACGCGTGGGCCTTGTTTGTATAGACTGTGTCTATTACTCGAGAATATATAAGATATTTTATATTTCTTCGTAAAATGCTTTTTAGGTATTTTCGTATAACGAGCGTGTGCTACAGCTTTTGCTTGTATTTATGATCCTATACAATAGTGCTAAGTCCTTTCGTATTGCCGGTACCCCCCATTTTAGTCACATCGGTTCTGTGTGCTTTCACATCGAAAACTGCACAGCATGTTGCTGAATCGGCCCACATGCTCTAATTCAACATGGCTTTGTCCACTCACACGTCATTGAAGACGGCATCCTTAATGGTGCCCACAAAGCTCTCCCGGGTGGCGGCCTGGGCACCAATAGCAATGCCGCTCCGGATGCCTCCGAAGAAGAGGCCCCCTTGGGGGGGACCCTCCACCTCCAGGGTCCCTTTGGGAAGGCGCAAAGTTCCGATCTCCGTGTCGTCCACGTTCACCTGGACCCTGCAGGTGCCAAGGACCTGTCACCCCTGTCTGTACCACACTGTCCTTATGACACTATAATTACTAGGAAAAGTAATTGTCTTGTACATATGTCTAGGCAGAGGAAAGTTAAATGAGAAATGGTAGTCGATGCAGTACCATTGCTAGCCTTGGGCCCAGGCATGTAGGCGGGGGGGCGGGGCAGGGCGGGGCATGGGGCCTCGCCCCTCCCCCAAAATCTTTCATTTTGCTGGGACCCTCCTTTCCCCCTACCCTCATACAGCATTTTGTCATGGGTAAGACCCCCCACTTCCCCCCTTCCTTTCCCTTCCCTTCCCTTCCCTCCCTCTCCCCTCCCCCCTTCCCCCCCCCCCCCCCCCCCCCCGAAACAAAATCCTGGCTGCAAAGGACAAGGGACTTGATGAAGAAAGACACAAACACAGCCTTTAGTGTGCATCGCAGTAGCGATACACTATCACACGCTGGTACGATGCTCACCCAGATCGATAAGGGAAGAGGTAAAGATTGAGCCCATGATCACTGGGTTGTGCAGTAAGAGCTTTTGGCCCACGTGCTCCAAGCCGTGGTGCGTTAACACCCTCAATCACCGATCTCCAAATTTATAAAACCAAATATATAGATTTCTACTTTACGGTGAAGGCTGCTGACACTTCGTTAGATCTTGAAGGGTTACCAGAAGTTATAGTCTACTCTGTTTGGCCAAAAGCTATTGTGACCTTTATTTGTCTCTTCAGAAATTACACCTTTGTTGGATCAGACCATTGTAGCGATACTTGCACATTTTTGAAAAATATTTTATGGAACTATTCGTTTTATAGAACGCTTTAACGAAAATTTGGAAATGTATCGTAAGGGCACAACGAGACTTTGGCATCAGCCAAGATCCGAACGTTTGGCATAAAGAGCTGGGCGTGGCAAGTAGCAGGTTTTTTTACAAAAATTCGTACCTGTCAATGGAGAGTGCAAGTGAACAAGTGAAGCTGTAATTAAGCGCGTAACTCTGAATCACATTTTAATTTGCGGCTTTGGTTTACTTAAAAAGACCAAGGAATGCAGGATTATTCAAAAGAAAGCCGGGAGGTAATATGTAGAAATATAGCTTCAACGTGTAAACATTACAAAGCTGTATACTTCCCTCTTTTATGTATGAGTAAGGTCTATTGGTTAATAGTTTTTTTTTTTTTTTATCCCAGAAATTCCAGCCTCGAGGCCACGCGTCAAACAAAGCCACTCACTTTCGGTGCCTCTTCAGAACTGTAAGCGTGTGGAACTTGTTGTCATTGTACCGCTGCTCCGAGCGCAGTGCCACCTCGCCAGATCCTCCGTTCAGACGAAGCTCAAGGTGACCGTCCTTCAGGGCCACCGAGTAATAATGCTGGCAAGAATCGGAAGGGAAAGCCAAATTGTGAAGAGCTTGAGAGTATAGTTCACTCCGTTTCACCTTAGGATGGATCGCAGCGATGGCGCTACAAGCCATCGCAGCCAACTTTGCGCTGTGAACTTATGGCATGACTACGTGCTGTGCTCTTTCCGTAGGTCAGGCGGGACTCGCACAGAATGGGAATGGTTTCGAGGGCTTGGCTTCCTCCGTGGTTCATTGTGAGGTGAAACGAAGTAGAGTTGACGAAAAATAGTGAAGGGAGCAAAAAACCCCGTAAGTTCATCACAAACAAGACTTACATCCCGCTTCGCGTCGGCACCTTGGACTGAAGAAAACGTAGAGATCATAAGAAGACCTTCAGTTTGAGTTGATTGGAAGGTGAACCCGTAATTGCCCTCAGCGGCCAGGGTTTTCCCCTTCAGTTCCAAGTAGCCTGTCCCTTTGAAGCTCACCAGCTTCACTTTCTGTTACCAAGTAGAAATTATATATGTATTAGTAACCAAGAAGGAGATCCGGGAGAATGCAATCGAAACCAGACTGAAAAGAAACTTGCCCTGTCCGAGCAGCCAGGATCAACACCGTACGCTTCATATTTGAGTAAGTCCAGCGGTGTAGTCTCAACTTGTAGATCCTTCATGCAGCCAATGAAACTCTGGAAGCCCACAGTACTGAACCTGCATTGAAGCATTACTTTAGTGAGTACATTTTCGAATCGCTCAAAGTCGCTGTTGGATCTCAAACTTTGATACCTTGACCCATCAAAATCGGGGGGCACGGCGCCGAAGTAGAGCTTGCTGTCCTTCAGCTGAAGTTCACCCACAGTGCGCCGCGGGAGCTCTCCTTGCACCTGCTCATCTTCGACATATAGTACCCCTAGGCGAGAAGAGAGAAATATTCGTTCTGAGAACTATAAAATTACAAACATCAACACGCGTCGAGCTTATTTAAAAACAAGTAGCAGAAAGGCCAAACACAACACACTGCAGATGTGCTCTAAGAATTTTACGAAAGGTTTTTGGAGACAATATTACACTTTTTTTCCGCATTGGCCTGCATAGTTTCCCAGCTAGAGCTCCGACCTTATTATGTGGCGTTGAATATCGTGTGGCGTCGAACGTCACACGATATTCAACAGCAAACGCACCAACCGCGCAATTTGCTGTACCAGCTCGTCTGACAAGCGAGTCAGTTCATGGTTTTTATCCGCGATTTGCGTGCGCGTTATCGGATTCCGTATCACTCGAGTTGTTTCCATGTTGCACCGTGAAATGCGAATCTGCTGCGTCCGCGATTTGCGGTATTCGTTTCCGTGAGATGCGAGTTCTCGGCGAGTTTCAGCGGGTCCTTCGCACCTTGAAACGCAAATCTTCTGCATCCGCAACATGCGGTATTCTTTCCCAGGGCACGGGTGTTTGTAGCGAATTACCGGGTGTTTATCGCATCGTGAAACGCGAATTTGCGGTGTCCGCGATCTGCGGTATCATTTTCCGTTTCACATTCTTTGTAGCTGGTGCCAAGGTGTTTATCATTATTTTTGGTAAAGTTTTGCTGTGGTATCTCCAAAGATAGCCCACACTATATTTTTCACCATTTATCTTTTCATTTTGGTTGGGTGTTATTTCGGAACTTTACGTGGGTAGAAGTACTCGTTACTACTAACGCCTTACGTACACATCTGGTCACAATAAATCTTCTGTATTCTGCTGAGGCATAAGAACTAGGGATGCCGCGAACTTTTTTCGAATCGAAGTTTCGATGATCGAATCAAGCGGTTCGAAAGGTTCGAAAGATATCGATTTTTCGAATTGTCTATATCATAAAATTCGACGGTAGTCGAATTTTACGATATAGACAATTCGAATTTTCGAACTTACGAATTTTCGAACTTGTTAAGCTTAGAAGTTCGACGCTTTTCGAACCGTCGAACTTATTACGCTAAAATATTCGATCTTTTTCGAACTTTCGAACTTATTGCGCTGCAAAGTTCGATGCTTGTCGAACTTCCGAACTTGACTGACCAAAAAATCCGATGAATTTCGAACTTTCGAACTTATTTATCAAGAGAATTCGAAAAGTTTCGAACTTTCGAATCCTGAAAAGTCAGAAGTTCGACGAACTTCGAACTTTCAAGGTAAAAGTTCGACGTTCGTCGAACTTCGAAAGACCGGCGGACGCTTTCATTTGAATTCATCAAGTAGTGAGATACATTCGTAATTTTTGTTTTCGAACTTTTACACGCGGTGCTGCGTTCTTTACGAAAGACAATGCCGTTTGTTTCAATGTTCTGGCATGCTTAGTTTTAAAGAAATAAATTCCCAAAGGGGCGAGGAAGGATGACGGGTTTTTGGCGATTATCGTTTGCGCCAGATTTGAAGCGCGCTGTAGCCGAAGCTATTTATGGTAGAGATGTTATACTTGTTAAGAATGATCTATGTATAGCCTAGGTAACTGCCGTCTTAAGATGTGATTATTGTTATTCAACGCGAGTTTCGAAGAAATGTCCAAACATGTATCTACATGCAATTATGCCCTAAACTTGGTATTTATTTTCGTCTAAGTTGTTTGAGGTATCGCATTTAAACTAACACCACAGACAGTACATATCATTTCCATCTGCAGAATACAAAATAATGTATTTATTTTTTTTTTTCACGTTAAGGAATAAATTAACTCATGGGATAAGATTTCTAATAGTGTTCAAGTTTAGCACGTCATTAAAAGAAAACATTTTTTTTTTCGCTTCACGTTCCTGGGACGTGTTTCTTTTAGCCTGTACACATTTCGGAAAAAGAAACTCGTTTCGAAGTTCTGAACCTCTGAATATGCAAGAATACAACACTTCTGGCGAATTCTTGATATTTTTTTTTCTCCAGCTTTTTATCCCCGCATTTATTCTGTTCTTTTTTTTTTTTTTTTTTTTTTTTTTTATTGGCACAGTTATTTAGGTCGAAAAGACATAGCTTTGAACTTCCGAACCACTAAGCATGGGACGAGTAGTGCCTTCTGACGATGAGTTTCTAACAATGACCATCTACGCAATCTTTTATGCAGTGAAGAGCGACAGTAGCTAGACATATGCATAAAAAATTTCAGATTAAAATAAGCTCGACCACGCCCTCTTTCTCCGTATTGTTTTCTTTAACAGTCCAAAATATCTGGCAGGGGGAGAAGGAAGCTGAAGCTCCCCCCCCCCCCCCCCCCCCCCCCGCTACCCTCTTTCCCCCATTTTTCCTCTTGCGACGCCACTTGTATGGTATAACCCTCCTCGACCTCGAGTTGCGTCGGCTTTTTGCGAGGCGATTCCTCCGTCCCAGAAAATAAACCTCCAGGACAATTACAAACTTCTCTTACTATATGCCAGCGTCACTCGGGCGGCGTTCGATCGGATTACTACCAGCGTGCAAGAGGTGCCGAGGTAGTTTGCTAGGTCGCTTCAAGGTTTTTCTGAGCCTCAACCTCCTGCTCGCCCCTGGCCGTTTCGAACTGGATGAGTCTCGTAAAACAGCGTGTTCGTGTGATCACTACTGCGTGATGCAGGTTAAACCCCCCCCCCCCCCGCCCCCGCCCCCCCCCCCCCCCCCCCCCCCCCGTGCTGGTGGTTAGAATTACTGATCTATGGTCACACGTCACTCTGCACTGGCAAATATTCCAGCACATCCGGGACACTCGTCGTCTCATTTAATTGCCTGACCAACTTCGCAGAATCTAGATATCACACCCTAACTTTTCTAAACTTGATTTGTGAAAACCAGTGAGTCGTGAAAACGTTATTTGAAACGGAAACTGTGGCGGAACTTGAAAACCGGACTTCGAACTTTGAAAACTTGGACTAGAAAGAAAGGAATTCAAAATCTTCAAAGTTTTTTTTTTGTCGAATTTAGCGTTAAAAGAGAATAGAAACTTTCGAACTTTTCGAACTTTATGCAGAAAGAAATTCGAAACCTTCGGTTTGTTCGAACTTCATGTCTATAAAAATTCGAAGTGTTCGAAGTTTTCGAATTTTATTTCCAAAGAATTTCGAAATCTTCGAATTTATCGAACCTAAAGTAAAAACATATTCGAAATATTCGAATTCGAAATTTTAGAAACCGTGAAAGCTTCGAAATTTTCGATTTCGAAACTCCACTGTGATCGAAGGTTGCGAATTTTTCGAATTCGAACCTCGGTCGGTACGAAAATATCGAAATTTTTCGAAATCGAACCTTAGTTCGCTTCGCAAATATCGAAACCTTTCGAAATCGAACTTAAGGTGGTTCGCGACATCCCTAATGAGAACTCGTTACTAGTAACGCCTTGGGTAGATGTCTGGTGACAATTATTCCTCAGTATTCCGCTGAGGCGTGCCTGATGCCCTTTTGTTGGTTTGGTACGTAAAACCTCCTAATTTGACTTCGCAACGGCGAAGTGCACTTGTCATAGTTCGCAGAGCGGTTGAATATGCACAAGCGGCTAACACACCTTCGAGTTTGTTGCGGTGGGCAGACAGCCTCGTCCAGTTGCCCGTGTTGTACTTGCGCTTGCTTCGGAGCTCCATTGGGGCATTGGATCCAAGCTTAAACTGAAACACGACGTAGCCGCCGCGCAGTCCCAGCGACATGAAGTCACCCTAAAATGGGAAGAAGGTACGTTGTGGCTCAATGTACTTGGAGGAGGCGATAAAACACAGCTACTTACGGTCACATGGTTAGGACACAGGAAGAGAAGTGCATCTTCATCGAAGGTCTTGATGAGCATGGACACGTCGTAGTTGTGCTTGTCGTACCTGCGGATCTGGGGCAATATGGAATAGCCCTCACCCTTGAAGTTGTATGAACTTGGATCCACGTCTTCGGTAGGGCTGTATAGGATTGCGCGTTTGTCATGTTTGTCGTTTTCTTTGTATTCCGTAGACTGCAGCAGGTACCTACCCAGACTTGCAGCCATCACAACCATCGTTCGTGAGGAAGTTCCAGAGACCGACTTGTTTTCCGTCCAGAATTACCTCGTGCAGACATCCCACAAACGTCGTGGCCGTCAGTTCGCGGGCAGCCTGAAATGCAAATCTCTATCATTATCGAAGACAAAAAAAAAATAATAATAATAATAAAATGGCAGCGCTTTGAAGTTCCGTCATGCATGGAATGTAGCACTTATGGAGCTACCGTTTAAATTTGTTTTGAAGGACACCACTTTCTTGTCTGTCGCTTCCCATTATCACTTCACAGCCAATGAGACAGTGACGTTCCGTTATGAAGGCCAAAGAAGGAATCAGGCAGCGCATGAAGATAATGAGCCCCGCGACTAAGAAAGAACGGCAGGCAGGGCTTATTATGTCCCATGCGCTGTCTGATTCCTTCTTCGGCGTTCATAATGAGTAACTCTGCGATTTGATTGGCTGCTGAGTGATAATGAGAAGCGCGCGGTTCCGAAGAGAGTCATTTCGCGTGCACCTCAGTTGGATATGTGCGCCATCTTCAGCTGCCGCACGCTCCCTAAAGCTCACGTGATGTTAATTTTCTCAGCGGTTAAATACACGGGTGGACGGACGGACGAAGTTAATGAAATTTGGGGGTTCCGTCAGAAAGCAATGCGTAGTTTGAAAAGTCCTAGGAAGCTTCGATCGTACTTACCGGAATGTCATCCGGGATGCGCCCGACGTACAGGTGCGAACTGGCATCAAGGTCCATCTTTCCAAAGCCAGCTGGAGCGGCACCTGTGATCTCCTCGGGGTCGTCACGTGCACCGTCGGGCTTGCGCTTGACGCTAAGCGTCGCTACGTTCCCCACCCTAAGAGAAGGTGCCAGACGTCACTAGGTGTAACAGTCGCACCTGGCAACTCAATTACCGGTCTCGCAAAACCAACATTCCATCGATCGATAACTGACGCAGAACTTGCCTGAACACTTCCACCTTGTACCAGCGAGAGTCTCGCTCCAGCTGCCTCTCGTTGGTTTCAATGACCATATTGTGGGTGATGCTGTGGGTGCCTCCGCCGGCGTTCCAAGAAAACTTGATTTTCCTATTGACCATCTCAATGGCCATAAAGTCATCCTGCGGTACCATACAAGTGCTTTGATAGCGGCACTTAAAACCGGATCTGCTATGTGGGAACAACACTTGCCTTTCCTTTAGAGTTGGCAATAAAGAAAAGTAGGCTGTTTTGATCTTCTTCCTTGATGGCATAGTTGAGGACAATGCTGTTTGTTGTGGTTGATTCAATCTCGGGTCGGAAAGAGCGGGAACACTCGCCCTCTTGGTCGGCGCTAAGAGACACCCTTATCTGAAAAAAAAAAAAAAAAAAAGCTGTTTACAACTTTCTGTAACGCCGAATTGGAGCGCAGCTCTTGAGGAGGAGGATGGAAGCGTACTGAGGGATAGGCGACTCCTTGAGGTCACGTGACCTCAGGGGGGGGGGGGTCGTGTGACATCAGGGGAGTCACGTGACCTCGGGGGAGGGGGGGGAGGTCACGTGGCCTCAGGGGGTCACGTGATTTGGGGGTCACGTGACCTCGCGGTTACGCCGACGCCGCTCAAGCCGGAAACGGGCCCCTAAGAGCTGCGCTCTAAAAATAATGAAACACTTAAATCGCGCGCAGTCGAAGGGTTGTTCAAAGTATAGAGACAGAGTAGTAGTATTTTAGCGGCATATGTATTGGAGGTATCTCCGATCTACAAACTCCTTCGTCCTAAACTTGGGCCCTTGTTGCCCAGAAAGTTTCCAAATGAAGTTCGGACAAAATATGCTCACGCTGGAAGCCCGTTGCCTGGCCAGCAGGACTTTGTCACGCAGTTCCTCCAGGTTCAACTGCAGCTGGTTGTGAGTCTTGCGTGCTCTTGCAGCTGATTGCTCCGAGCGAGTGGCCAACTGGTCTGCTCGCTTTATGCCCCGTTGAGCGTCGTCAACTAGAAAGAGATGACGCCCGCTCTTAGTATCTTTCTGCAGACCCTTACATGAGTAGCTAATCAGCTTCAGAAGGTAGTCTATCTGCAAGAAAATAGTGTTTTCTTTCCTTTCGTCGCTATAATAAACTACCCATCGTGGATAGCTGTCTCCGCCCAAATGTAGCTTTAGCGGTTGGTACCAGAGGTCAGTGTTTCAGGGCTTGCCGATATCTGGTTCAAGAGGTATGACTATTTTCTGAAATATTAAACGGAGAGATGATGGTTGGTGAAGCCCACGAATGCATGGAGATAAATGGCGTCAAATAGCGGGAACGGGCCCCATTTTTTCTCTGAAATTTTTCTGAGATTCCCTTTAGATTTTCAGTCAAATATTTAACAGTAAAGTTTCAAGCTTTAGAATGCATTCCGAACCGCTAGCACTACATTTTGGCGAAGACTGAGCGTTCGCCAATGCGTCGTTGATTTTGCAGTACCGATTTTCCAGACTATATAGTCCGCAGGGGCAAATATGGGGCAAAAAAAAGTATTTGCTTGGATAGTCTGTTCCCGGTACATAGTCCGCACTTAGTGCCTTGTCAAAACGTAAACATTATCATTCACAGCACGCCTGGACAAGTGCCTCCCATTTTAGCTTTGAGAAAAACTTGTATCCTACATAAATCAATGTTAATATACTTCGTTATTCATAAAATCTTTCACGTCTTGTCACAGTGAACGACCTAGGAAAAAAAAATCATCCTCGTATAGTCAACACAGGTAAATAGTGCGCATCGGGTAAAATTTATCCTTTTAAACATGTATAGTCCGCGGACTATAGTCCAGAAAATACGGCAATTAAAAGCACAGCACAGTGTTTGCAGACACATTGCATTTTCTTTGAAACAAGAATTACCCATCTAGCCAGGTAATAGTCAAAATATTCAAAGTGCTTCAGTAGTCAAATGATATCATATCCAGTGAAACTCGAGCGTGGGAGACAAAGGTATTATAACAACAAAAATTCGAGAACCAAAAGGACAAGAGATGGGTGGGATTGATGATTTCAGTATGAAGGGGGGTGTGGAATTCATTTATTCTAGTTTTCTTTTGAAATCACCGTCAGTGAGAGCTTCGGTATCGAGTATGACAGTTGATCGACTCACTGAGGCGTGTCAGGTTATCCAGCCCTTCTGCCGAGCCCGTCTGCAGAGTGCCGATCTGGGCGTGCATTCCGGCCAGTAGGCCTAGGACGCCGTCAATGCGAACGTTGGCCGTCTCCTGCTTGCCGTAGGCGCCCCTGGCTTGCTGCAGTGCCTCTTCAAGAGGACCCGACAGGTCATGGGGCAGCTTGTCTAGTTCCCTGTTGATGGCGGCCACAGCACGGACCCCGTCCCCAATGTCGTTTTCCAGGGCTTTCAGCATGTTCTTCTTGGCTCGCATGGAATACTGCAACTCTGCAAGCGAGTAGACCCTTGGAGTGTAGCTTTCTCCTACTTCCATCTAGACAAAAGGAACCCGCATCAGAGTTGTCATCGCATCTCACCTGGGATGTCGTCATCTCGGAGCTGCTTGGCTTGCTGAAGAAGATCTTCGCTGCGCTCTCTAGCTGCGGCCGCCTTATGCCTCAGTGACTCTCCGTTTCTGGGGTACGCCTGCCCAGTGGGAAAAGGGAAGCAACAAAGGTTTACGTTTCTTGTAGGAAGCGGACAGGACTGGATTCGATACCTCATCGAAGGCTCGGTCAGCGGCTTCTGATGCTTTGCGCGCAGCTTCTTCGGCATCCTTGAGAGCGTCCTCGATGTTCTGGTAAACCTTGGCAGCCCTTAGCGGGTACTCAGAAACTTCCTGAGTTTTCTTGAATTGGCTGCAGACAAAGAAATAAATACGGTTGCGATAAAAAAAAAATGTTACACTCTGAACGGGCATCTGGGCCGTGAGGTAAATGAGACCGGCGCAGGGCAAATGTATTTTCTTTAATGAAGCGCCTTTAGAAATCAGATAATTAGCTGAGTTTCTCAATTCGTTTTATAAGGGACATCGATTTCTGGTTAAAGTGGAATGACCCGAAGGCCCTCCTGATTTCAGCTAGAGAGTATGGAGGGTTTCGGAAGAAGAGTTCTGATAATATTCCATAATCTATGTGAAAGTATTCGTTGCAGCCCTTAAATCGGCTTGCTCTGGGGTAAGCGAGTCACGCGAGGCTTATTAAAAACAAGTTAAGTGACTGGGTCAAATTTCTAATGAACTCATTCGTGGCGGAGCGGGGCTTTGATCTTTTTTTCATGAAGGTATACTGATTGTTGATAACTTCAGGAAAATCTGAACTATTCTATTTCTCTAAACTTCGTTGAAATTCCTAGAAACAGTTTTATCAAATTTTTAGATAATGTCGGTATTCTGTACTTTCTAAATCATAAAATAACTTGCTCGGTTAATTCCTAATGTTATTTGCACAATTAGTATGTATGTTGCAGTGCTTCTTGTGTAATATAGATACTAGGCTGTTTTTATAGTAGCTGTCTCAATACAATGTGGAAAAGTACACGGCACGTTACTAGGCACCATTTCTTTTTAGGCTTGTGATTCTCAGTAAAACCTTCAAAGTTGTAACGCCTTCCAAGACTTGAAAGACGTCAACGGGTGAGTATAGTATGTATAATGCGGGTTCTTTTCTGAAAGTGGTGAGAATCCAGCAATTTTATTTTTATCCTGAGATGGCCGCGGAGCTAGCCACCTAAATATCTTGCCACAGTCGCACAACATCTTGCCACAGTCGCACAACTATGTCGGCAGCTAGAGTGGCAGCGCCATCTTAAGAGCTGGCTGTCGTCAAATTTTCTAAAAGGGGCAGAATAGACCATCCCTCAAATACGCAGCGCCTCCAATTGTCTTTTCGATACATTACGGCAATCCGATACGCGATGCGTCGAGGAGTACCCATAAATAAAAGGAAATCGTTTATGGCAATGTGGTAGCTTTATAGGGCAACAAACCTCAGCAGCTGCGTAAGCACGAAATGTGTAGGTGGGTTAGTTCGCAACCGCTAAACAATAGCGAGTTTTAGTACACCGTGTTTCCCCCTCCGCTAAGCCCCTCCGCTATTTGGAACTCTACAGCCAAGGCCATCGGCGCGCAGGCGCAGTGGCGGTTTCTTCGTAGCGGAGGGTTAGCGGAGGGGGAAACACGCTCTACTAAAACTCGCTAATATTGAGAAAAAAATTAAAGCCGTTTACAACTCCCTGTAACGTCGAATTAGAGCGCAGCTCTTGAGGAGGAGGAGGAGGGAAGGGTGCTGGGGGTGGTTCAAGTGACCTCGGGTGGTGGGGGTCACGTGACCTTGGGGTGTCACGTGACGTCAGGGGGGGGGGGTTACGTGACCTGGGGGTCACGTGACGATGCCAATGACGTCACTGATGACGTCATCAGTGACGATGACGATGTGGATACCGATGACGTCATGAGTGACGTCACTGATGATGTCATCAGTGATGATGACGATGCGGATGCCGGTGACGTCATCTGTGACGTCACTGATGACGTCATCTGTGACGTCACTGATGACGTCATCAGTGATGATGACGATGCAGATGCTGGTGAGGTCATAAGTGATGATGACGATGCCGATGCGGATGCTGATGACGTCATCAGTGACGTCACTGATGACGTCATCAATGGCAATGACGTCAACGAGAGTCACGTGACTTCGGGGAGCGGGTCACGTGACCTCAGGAGGGGGGGTCACGTGACCTGGGTAACCATCGTGACCCTCGTGAGGGTAACCCTAGTAACCCTTGTGAGGGTAACTCTCGTGACCCTCGTGAGGGTAACTCTCATGACCCTCGTGAGGGTAACCCTTTTGAGGGTAACTAACCCTTGTAACCCTCGTGGGGGTTACGAGGGTTAGTAACCCCCCTAGTAGCACGAGATGTTGCAGGAACGTTACTGCAACGTGGCTAATGTTGTGCAACGTTATGCAACGTGTAACAATGTAACGACAATATTACTAAAACCATATTGCAAAAACATTATTTCGAAATATCAACACAATGTTACACAAATGAGATGCAACGTTACACTACTTTTACGTATGTTACTGAAATGTTGCTGCAGAAATGTTAGGGCAATATAATCCAGAAACAAAGAGCCTATGTTTCAAAGGTAACATTAAGGAGATGCATCTGTGATAACTTATAAAATGTTACAAAAACATCCCGCAACTTGAGAGGACAACACACCTTTCTGTCTGCGGAAACATATCTCGCCTGTATTTATTTCATAAGATCCACCACCACAATGACATCCCCCTTTGTCACACCTCCACCTATTGTCAGTCATTCCCGGCTATGTCATCACTAGGCAAGAATCATCCCCCCTACTTATCGCTGGCATAGCTGATTGCACCGAATTTAAAGATGCAGTGTGATAATGAATTCGGGGTCTTGTTAACAATATTTTGATTTAGTTTTTAATCTGTTTGTTTGCAATTAGATATTTCTGTCCACTCCACTCTGTAATGTCTCAATGCCCTAAGGAAATAAACCGCTACAATATTTCTTCGTCCGCACCCAGCGTGAAGCCCACAAGGGTTAATTTTGGCTCGAAAAAAGTGTTTTTCTTATACAGTCCCCACTCGGTGTACAGTCCACAGGGGCAAATTCAAACTGAATATCTGTTTCCTTAGACGGTCCACATTATGGGGAGAGGTCCTTTTGAGCCCGCTTGTCGTGGTGAATCACAGAGCTCATGAGGATTAAGCTTGACAAACAAAGATTGCCTGGAGGCACTTAAGCTAACAGCCAGTCAACCCCAAGACATCAAAGGCCTGGACGACACACTGACAGTATGACCTGTTTCTCACTTCAGCAAAGCAAAACATATTGTAAATATTGTATTGTAAAATATCTAGAACGAAAGACACAAAATGTATTGTATCCTCTGCACCTGCAGATAGTCTGCAGAGCGAAATATTAACTTTTAGGCATGTATAGTCTGCAGACTATGGTCTGGGAACTATTGTACTTTTGTATGTAGAGGGCTCCATTGAATGGATGTAGCAGTTTGGTTTTACTGAAGTAATTTCTGAATTAACTAATGAATATTTAATTAAAATGGACGGAGCATGGCCTCCCAGTAATCAGAAATAGTAAACGGAATGCACAGTCTCCCCAATAGACTACTTCCATAAAGCCCTGCATGCAACACGGCGCGCGTTGCACTCTGGGAACTAGTTGGCCAGGGAGGAGGGTGGCACGGTTTCGGTTTCGATCGACACGTCGACAATAGATTATACACACAGCGTGTTCTCATGTTTTCTGGTCCCGAGCGCGTCATTTTTGGTCTCTAAACTAACCTAAATGGCCAGACCTCGAAGCTTTAGCACAAGCCTGAGACGTATAGCTTGTCTTAACAGATGCTTGTTGTATTTTTGTACTTGAGCCTTCCTGTTAGCGTTCCAATCGAGGTATGTGGACGAGCCAGTGCTGGGAGTCTCGACGCTGCGAAGCTCGGGGATCTTGCTTGTGCGCGAATGAACAAGCTGTGGCAACCAATAAGTATGCATACATCGAGCTCGCGCCTTTACATTAGTGTTGTTTATCAGGAAGTTTTTTTGTTTTTTTTTTCGTGCGCCCATAGACGAAATATTACTTTTTGCAATTACTGGTTTTCTTTATATGCCTGAGTATGCGAGGTAAAACTCGGAGGCGCCATTGAAAAGCTCAATTTTAACACACTTCTTATCTCTTATCTGTAGTGACCCGCAGCACTGTACAAAGTGGTCCCCACCCGCTTCCATTCCACTTATATTCAACATCGCGTATGCGCATAAAGTTATCCTGCAATCATAAAGGCAAATTCGCACATACAGACCGTTTTAAGAAAGCAAAAGTCGAGCACTTGTGTGAAGAATGTCGCACCGTTCACCGGAAGTGCGCCGGACGGGCATGAACCCCTATGCAGTGCGCCAAACGAAAGAATTCAAAGCGCATTTGACGGTTGCTAATGGCCATAATATTTGTTATGTGTTTGCTTTCTTCCTGCCTGAGTATGCCGAGATAATTTCAGACACACCGTTCAGGCACAGATCTTGGGCGTCAGTAAAAGCTCGTCCAGAGAGGCTTAGCGAGGAGTAGGGGACGTTTGTTAGGGCCTCTATCGTAGCTAGCCGATCTCAGCGTTTGCGAAAAGTTAATCTTCTATCAGCATAAAATTTGAGTGTGAGTTATGTGATGACACGAGGAAGACATCATAGTAACTTTTTTCAGTAGTGAGGTCGAATTTATTGCGTTTCCTTAAAAGTTCATGCGTAAACGCTGGGCTCAACTTTGATACCCTGTAAGGATGCTGCTTGCTTTTCGCCCAATGAAGTAAGAAGCGGACGTTTGGCAAAAAAAAATACGTGTAACGCTCCAGATGAACAAATTTCAGTTCTAGTTGACTGGTACTAGACGGGATTATTGAAATTGAGCTCGGACATGCACTCGTGGGGTGAGGTGACTAAGAAACGACTTACTACGTTTGCATACGCATGCACAATATCCGGTGTTTCGGGGACCAAGGAAAGTGCCCCGGTCTTCGTTTTGTATCGCTCGAGAATGAGTGTATTGTACGTTCGTGAAAAGTCAGATTAATCGAAAACGCAAGCAGCGCGTTCGGTCGTGGCGTGATAGCATGAGATGAAGCTGCTCAGTCGAAACCGAAACTGAGTGGCCAACTAGTTCCCAGAGTGCACTGCGTGGTATTTCGCCGCGTTGGGGCGCGTCGGTTTTGGAAGAAGTCCATTGCCACTTCAGTTTTGGTAGAGCTACACCTGCATGCAGCACGAGCAAGCTCAAAAGCTTTCGAATGGCCCCAGTGAGCAAGCGC